TATAAAGAGTTGTGTCTTTAATGTTAAAAGTCCTATTATGATGTTGTTTAGATTCTACTGAATATTATCAACTTAGATATATAGTGATAGAGAAAACTATTGCTTTTGGTTGGAAAAAATTTTACTAACTTAACAAAACAGACTAATTTGTAGTTTATTTGCAACTATTTATTTTGATACTTTTACATTATTATACCTTGTAAAACTAATGTAAAAAAATAATATGAAAAGATTTTAGAACAAATTCGTCAATTTCTTAAAGGAAAAACATAAAAAACATTTTATTTTAAAAATTAAAAGATATATTAACAAAAAAATAAGAACTTCCTAAAATTTATTGCACAAATGCTCTTTTCTTTTCAATAACACTTAGCAGCCTATTGTCACCATATAATGTTAGATTTGCAATTTTAGCGGCTGGTAAGTTGTTTGCAGCAACTTTAACTGCCTCCCAGTTGTCACACTTGCTGTTGAATTGCCTTCCATTAGAATAAATATCTCTCTTAAGGATGCTCCACAAGTTCTCAATGGGATTTAAGTCACAGCTATTTGAAGGCCAGTCCATAAGAGAATCTTCAACAAATCCCTTTTCTTTCAACCAGGATTTAGTAAACATTGATGCATGACTTGGTGCGTTGTCTTGCATAAAGATCATAGATCTACGCTTGGCTAAAGGCTGGTTATCAAGCCATTCAAAGAAATATTGCTCTAGAAAATCACAGTAACTTTTGGAATTCATTTTAACACCGTCTTTCAGTTTAAATGGACCCATGAGCTCATTAATAATCCCAGCCCATATCATGATCCCACCGCCGCCTTGTTGGCCTTTAAAATTTTCTTGAGTCATGTTGCTTGCAAACCCAACCTCGAGCCCGTCCATCGGGCCCATCGAGGGTGATCTTTGGTTCGTCTGTAAAAAGCACTTTACTGAAATCAGTTTTCATGTAATTTTTTGCCCACTGCAATCTTCTTTCCTTACGTTTTTTTTTTTGTTAAAATGGGTTTCTTTATTTGATTTTTTACATCAGCAAACTCCCTTAATGCTTTACACCTTGTTTCCCTTGACACCATAGGAGCTCCAGCGGCCTCAAATATGAACGCACTTGACGCATTTGGGTTTCTTATTAATTCTCTTCGGATATGTGATAGATCTCGCTTTGTTAAATTCCTGAATTCAGCCTGAGATTTTTTTTTCCTTGGTTGAATTCCCATTCGACATATTTTTTTGATTGTTCGATGATCCCTTTTCAAATCCTTAGAAATTTGAAGCGAAGACTTTCCTTTGCTAATTTCTTTGATTATATAGTTCTTTTCATTGATTGTTAGTTCTTTTTTTTACGAGCCATAATACTAAATTCTAGTTCTTGCAAATAATCTCTTGACACAGAAAATTGCTATAATTACTGAAAAAATACTAAATATCAATCTGAAATTGAAAATTGAGACTTAATTGCTTTCATGCTTACTCGCTATACATAATAGTACAAATTATTTCATTGGATAACACATATCTATAAATTTTACATAAAATATTTGACAATAACTCTTTTGCATATAATCTCTAGACGCAGTTTTATATATATATATATATATATATATATATATATATATATATATATATAATATAAATTTTTTTGTAATTTATTTGAACATATTTTTAAATATAATTTGTTTTTAGAAGAGTAATTTTATGTATGATTTTGTATTTTTAAACATAACTTTTTCTATGTAATTAAAGTTTTTTTTAAATACGTTTTTGTTCCTCTCATAGTTTCAAATTTACTTTTCATTCATCATAAGAACCGAATTTAAAGTCATAAGTTTAATATCCCTGTTTAATTTTATAAAGCTTCTTCCCTTTAAGTCTAATACCTACCACATTCCTCTGATCCATCTCTCGTGACTGAAACTTTGAAATGGATAAATTCTGTATTAGTTTTTCGACGGGGAATAGATCAAGGTACCTGATGATGTCGATTGACATTGCATTTGAATATTTGAAGATTATGGCTATCAGGGAAACAAGGTAGAGAAATGAAATTTCAACAGACGGGAAGTGTGATACATGAAGCTGTTGGAGTAGAAAAGACGACTACATTTTACCGTTTCGACACTGAAAGTGTGGGACTGAGATGCCAACCAAGTAGCACATTTAAATACGTACTTTTTCGGAACCAGCGAAATTATATATATATATATATATATATATATATATATATATATATATATATATATATATATATATATATATATATATATATATATATATGTGTGTGTGTGTGTGTGTGTATCTCAAACATGGGACGAAACGGCCGTCCAGTGCTTTCTGCATTCTGTTGAGGTTTCTTCTCTTCTAGACTCGATGAATTACTTAATTATAATTATCTCAAATCGTCCTAATTTCTATCACTTGTATATCCTTGCTTGAACCGACTTCTAATGCTCTGGATGGAGCGGCTTGGGGATAGTAGCCGTGGCTCCTGGGGACACAGTCCTATGGATAAGGGAAACTCGGATGAGTTCCACCACGGAATATGTGATCGAGCGGCGCTATATTGAGTCTGATTCGCTACCTCTTCGTCACCGTTCGAACAGTTGGTATGACGTTTGCTTGATAATGTAACAGTGCGGGTTTCAATTCTCGGTAGTGAATGCGCACTGCTGATGAGTCCCAAATATAGAACAAAATGGCCATCCAGTGCTTTCTGCATTCTGTTGAGGTTTCTTCTAGACTCGATGAATTACTTAATTATAATTATCACAAATCCTCCTAATTTCTATCGCATCGTATATATATATATATATATATATATATATATATATATATATATATATATATATATATATATATATATAATATATATAAGACTAAACTCAAACGAGTCAATTTGCATAAGAACTAGAACGTCCTATACGGGTAAAATAAACAGGTCAGTTAACCTTTGCTTTCCTTTTCCCGCTAGTATACAAAAGTCAATCTAACAAAAAAAAAAATGAAATAAAAAAATCATATAAGAGCCAAACATGTCTGCTAAAATTTTGACACTTGTATACACTATTTTTTTTTAATTTCAAAATAAAATACAGCGTATCTACAAAATAAGTGAATACAGGAAAATATAACAAAATGTTTATTTTTATTATTTTAATTCTAAATTCCAACAATTATTTACGGTGGTTTGAATGAATAAATTGGTTGACCTAGCAAGCCTTGAGTTCAGTCTATTCTATTTGTTATATACCATACATATGAACACCTATTCATATGACCCAATTCTCACAAATACGTTGGACACTATTGTAAGTGGGGGTAATATGCTGTCTAAATAGTCCATTACTATCTACTTCACGCCGCTGGTGACTATCTTATTTTGTTAATGTTCTAAAGATTACCATTTCATTTCTAACCTCCGTTTTGGTCATTCCTCATTCAGTAACCTTTCTTTAGTTACAACACTATTATTTAAGAGGTTTGAAATAAAACTTTCCTTCTCTTTAGTTTGTTACCAACCATGGCTAAAGGGTCTTGTTATCCTTATTTACGTGGGTTTGAATTCAGTTGTCCTTCCTCTAGACCCTACCAAGATAAAGAGCTCAGTCTGTCCTATTGTTTACAAAGGTTTCAATTCAGGTTTCATTCTCCCTGACTGGTTGCCACCCAACCCAAGAGACCACTGTTTAGCCTGTTATTTAACCCATAGATGGATAAAAATCAAAGTCAAGATACTGATTCTACTTTTCGGGCCGAAGAGCCTTGTACGAACTCCATATCTAATAGTGCTCACGTCCGTGAAAAAGAACAACAAATATGGCGCCGATTAAGTGTACAAACGAAAGAACAACTGTAAAACATAGAAATGCTTCCCGGAGGAGCGAATTGGATCGGAGTTCAAGGTTTCCCTGAAGCATATTCTTTATCTCTGATCAACGCTGTTAACATATTAATAGCTTTTGACTGCTGGTCTTTAGAGTTCCGAATATAAAGCGGGTAAAGATGAAAGAATTACTAGTCAGAAATTAATAACGAGCGTAAGAATTAAACTGGGAATCTGACTTCGTAGCAAAACAAAAAGAAAACCAACCTTTTTAGCACAAGGAACGTTGATTCTACCATTGGTACAGCAATGTATTTAGTTACGAGAAAATTGATACCATTTCTTTTTGTCATACGTGATTCACGCCTCAAGTTTGAACACTGAAAACAAGAATTTCGATTTGTTTTTGTAAACATTTAAATGAACGAAAAAAAAAAAGATTAAAACGTAAAAGAAAATTAAAATAAAAAAGAAATCCCGGGCCACTGGGCGAATGAAATTGAGCTTGGAATGACTGAGTCGAAGTGTCAAAGGCCACTTCAGGGTCAGAGCAAAGAAGTGCGAAAAGCCTAGAAGAAGAGAAATGCATACCACGACGGTTGGAAGTTATATTAAAAGAAAGAACGACAATGCCTAGGAGGTTGTCTGATTAAATGCACGTTCCGTAGTTCCCTTATCTTGACTGGATTAGTGTTTTAATCAAAAGTGGATAAAGAAAAAGTTATATTTTATATTTAGCTATGATCCGTGTGTATTTGAGGAGGATCATGGTAAGTTATTGGTGTTTTGCCAGTGCATGTTTCTGGCGGGAATTCAAAACTCTTAAAGAGAAGATTTGAAGCAATTGATTGGATAAAAGAAAGAAAGAAAGAAAGGAAAAAAGAAAGAAAGAAAGAAAGAAAGAAAAAAGAAAGAAAGAAAGAAAAAAGAAAGAAAGAAAAAAGAAATAAAAAAGAAAGAAAGAAAAAATGAAAGCAAGAAAGAAAAAAGAAAGAAAAAATGAAAAAGAAAGAAAGAACAAAGAAAGAAAGAATGAAGGAAAAAGAAACAAAGAAAGAAAGAAAGAAAGAAGTTCATCATTTAGGAAGGAAAGACGGACCGATCTGGTAGGTGGAAAAGAAAGAAAGAACGAGGAAAGAAAGAAAGAAAGAAAGAAAGAAAGAAAGAAAGAAAGAAAGAAGTTCATCATTTAGGAAGGAAAGACGGACCGATCTGGTAGGTGGAAAAGAAAGAAAAACGAAAGAAAGAAAGAAAGGAAAGAAAAAGAAAGAAAGAAAGAAAGAAAAAAGAAAGAAAGAAAGAAAAGAAAAAAAGAACAAAAGAAGGAAGAACGAAACACAGAACCAAGAGGAAAAGGAAACAAAAAAGAAAGAAGAACAGGAAAAGGAACAAAAATAACGGGAAAAATGTATAAAGATGCAAAAAAAAAAAATAAAGGCTAAAAGAAAAACAAAAGAGAGAAAAATAAGAGAAAGAAAGACCGAGGAAAAGATAGCAAAACAGAAAAAAGTAAAAAGAATGGAAAATAAAGGAAAAAAATGAATAAGTAAGAAAAATAATGTAATGTAAAAGAAATGGATGATGAAAGAAAAAAGAAAAAATAACGTAATAAAAGAAAAAGAAAAAGAAAAAGAAAAGAAAAGCATGATAACAAATGAACAGGGAAAGAATAGGAACATTTATTTTTTTTCCAAAAAATAAAAAGAGTAATTTTTTGAAACAATAAAAAAATAAAATGATGATTAAATCACAGAGGAAAACGACTGAAAAAACAAATGAAAGAAAAAAGCAAAGACAACAAGAAAGGGAGAAAAATAAAAAGAATGAAATAAATAAAATCACACGAAGAAAATAAGCAAAGAAAAAAAGAAACAAAGAAAAGAAAAGAAAAAAAAAGTTAAGAAAGAAAGACAGAAAAAGAAAGACATTCTTAAATGAAAGAAAATTAAACAGAAAAAGAAAGAAAAATGGACGAAGATAAATATAAAGAAAGAGCGGGAAAAGATAAATATACATAAATGAATAGCCAAATTAATAACAGAAGGAAAATGAGAAACTTTTCAAAGTAAATAAAAATCCAAAGAATAACGAATAAAAAAAAATATAAGAAAAATGGAAAACAAACAATCTATACAGATTGAGAAGAGAAATAAAACAAACAACACGAACGAACCAAGAAAAAAAGATGTCCGCGAATTAATCTTCCATTTTCCTGATTATGTCCCAAAACAAAACGGACGTGAGTTTCTTTCTAAGTTCGTTTTTCGAGACAAAATATATTGATGGCAAAAGACTATCCTTTTTTATGGGACCTTTCTTACAATAATATAGTATCAGTAACATTTAATCTTCTTTGCATTAAAACGTTTTCTTGAAGCAGTGAAAGGAAACGTACTAAAAAGGAAAAAAAAAATGTATTGGTTAACATTGTATCAGATGCAAAAAAAAAGGTTGTCAAATATTGGACCAAAATAGCCAAGGTTGTTAACATGAATATTTTCATGTTGAGAAACTCAACAGGTACGAAGAAAGGTTTAATTCAGATGTACAATTCGTACAAAAACAACTCACACAAATATATTAGTAATATATTCATCAAAATATATGTATAATATATTTACTAAAATATATGTATAATATATTCAGTAAAATATGTGTAAAATATTCAGTGAAATATATGTTTTTTTTTTTGTTTTTTATGCATTACGCCCCGAGCCACAAGGATGCAGGATGTTGCAGATTTGGAGCGAGAGCAGATAGCAGTGATAGAGGAAATGATGGGGAGAGGGATAGTGGATAGATCAAGGTAACTGGAGATGTCGATTGACATTACATTTGAATAGTTGGATGTGATATATTCATTAAAATATATGTATAATATATTCATTAAAGTATATGTGTAAAATATTCAGTAAAAATATGTGTAAATTATTCAGTAAAATATATGTGTAAAATATTCAGTGAAGTATATGTGAAATATATTCAGTAAAATATACGTGTAAAATACTCAGTAAAATGTATGTGTAAAATATTCAGCGAAATATATGTGAAATATATTCAGTAAAATATGTGTAAAATATTCAGTGAAATATATGTGAAATATATTCAGTAAAATATATGTGTAAAATATTCAGTAAAATATATGTGAAATATATTCAGTAAAATACATGTCTAATATATTCATAAATAATGTGAATCTGACTTGCGAGGTTCCAATTTATAATCTCTCAGGTGTGTCTGTCTTTGGAAAGAGCGGGTCTTAGTTGTACTTTTGTCTTCAGGCAACTGACATAATATTGAGGGAGGCCTAGCCTCGGGAAACAGCTGCCCGTGACAGTAGCCACTTGATTGCACAAAAGATGAGGGATCTGTCGAAATACTTATATTTCAGTGCTACATTCTGCTAAAAAACAAAACAAAAAAAAAAACAAAAAAAAACGTTGAAGTTTTTATTACGATTCATTACAGTATTTAAATGTAATAATAATCATAATTTAGACAGCTAATGTAAACGAATAAAAGATAATGTAACAAGAAAAATTTTGATACTGGCGATAGACATTTTGTTGTTTCTGACTAAGTGTTGAAAAGAAAGATTAGCATATTGTTGCGGTAGATGGTCTGATGCTCCTGCTATTTGCATTGTACTCCTTGATAAAATGCAAATAAGAATCAGCAATATTATTGGCCCTGATCTGGTGGCCCGGCTTCAGTCACTTAAACACCGCCGCAAGGTTGCCTCTCTGTGTCTTTTCTATAAATACTTTCATTGCAATTGTTCGCATGAAGTGTTCGCTATCCTAACTAGACTTTTTGAATTTATACTGGCGTCGAGATCTCATCAATTTACAGTTGATCTGGATTGATGTAACCGTAAGTTCTACGCTAGCAGTTTCTTTCCTCGCACTTCTCGCTTGTGGAACTCCCTTCTAACCCCATGCTTTCCAGCCAACTTTAATTTGCAAAAATTGATATGCAATGTCAATCGCTATCTACTGTCCTTCTGATTACTCTTTGGATTTTATCAAGAATTTCTAAATATATAACAGGAACACCGTACCATATGTGGCAGTTATATTCTAAGCATGGAAAAATGGTAGACGTATAGACTGTAAGATAAATTCTGGAAAGAATAATTGTCTAACACGACATAGTAAACCAAATTTCATTGCAGCTGACCTAGCAATGGATTCAGTATTGTCTTTCCACTTGATGTCAGCCGTGATCGTCAGCCCAAGAAGGTGAAACGTGTCACCCACCTGGAGGTCAGCATCAGCAATGCAGATGATAAATTGAGAGCAGTTTAGTTTTGGACGAGTTAAAATTAAGAAGCCATGCACTGCCAAAGTTAAGAACAGACTTATGGTCGTTTTGGATATCGGCTGCCATTTTGAGCGTATCAAACTTGCCCTATTTTCCGGCTTACAAGACACTGCAGCTTGAAAGACGTACCCTAATATTTGAAAGAAATTTCTAAGAAAAAATAGTCATTCTCATACAACAACACATTCCCTATGCGTTGCTCATATACTGGCGCCACGTATTGTTTACAGTAATCACTCGTAAGTTTTTGTTTGTATGGCAATGATATATTAGCCAAAAGCAGAAAGGCTTCCGCCGCTGCTAGTAAGCAAAGCAATATGGCTCGTCTCCAGGAGTGTTTATAGTCATGGAAATACTTGTAACTGCAAAGTACTGAGGTTAGATCATATAAAAGGCTGAAATTGGTAAATGGCTAACATAGTGTAATGACTCAACATACAAATCCACGTCCCTATTGGTCAAGCCAATTAGGTGACCATCCAAGTTTATTTGAGCCTGGGCGTTGCCTTACATTCGTATTGGAAGACGCACACGTATTTTTTTAGGAAAACAAGTACGTCTTGTAAGTCGGAAAATAGTGTACTATCAAGACATGAGTAAATGGTTGTGTTATCAGCGTAGATATCAAGTTGAGAATTGATGCCATCGGGAAGGTCATTAATGAAAATCAAAAACAAAGTAGGAGAAAGGATGGTATGCTGGGTGACACCTGCATTAGTACGGGAAAAAAAAACTGTAAGAGTGGCCGTTCAGGATTATTTTTATCTTACGATTCGATAGGAAAGACTGGATCATTTCAATTTTTTCCAGGGAAAGCGTAACATTTCAGCTTGTGGAGAAGACCTACATGCCAAATCCTGTCGAAATCTTTCGAGATGTTCAAAGCTACAGCCAGTATTTTAATTCTTATCTAGATCTTAACAAACTGTTCGTGTAATTATCGTCAATACACGAGCAGCTGAACTGGAGAAAAGAAAGACATATTGCTTGTCTGAAAAAAAGACTGCGATGTGAGGTGCTTAACAAATTCAGTATTGATTAGGGCCTCAAGGAGTTTCAAAAATAATCTGCAAAGCGTTGATAAGCTGTAGAAAATTAATCAATTAATAAATAAGCCAGGCCCAGTAACCACCGTACGTTTGGTAGCATTGTCACTTATCAGTGACTTTTGACTAAAAAGCGAGTAAAAGATGAAAGAGTTATTAGTCAGAAATTAATAACGAGCGTAAGAATTAAACTGGGAATCTGACTTCGTAGCAAAACGAAAAGAAAACCAACCTTTTTAGCACAAGGAACGTTGATTCTACCATTGGCACAGCAATGTATTTAGTTACGAGAAAATTGATACCATTTCTTTTTGTCATACGTGATTCACGCCTCAAGTTTAAACACTGAAAACAAGAATTTCGTTTTGTTTTTGTAAACATTGAAATGAACGAAAAAAAAAAAAAAAAGATTAAAACGTAAAAGAAAATTAAAATAAAAAAGAAAACCCGGGCCACTGGGCGAATGAAATTGAGCTTGGAATGACTGAGTCGAAGTGTCAATGGCCACTTCAGGGTCAGAGCAAAGAAGTGCGAAAAGCCTAGAAGAAGAGAAATGTATACCACGACGGTTGGAAGTTATATTAAAAGAAAGAACGACAATGCCAAGGAGGTTGTCTGATTAAATGCACGTTCCGTAGTTCCCTTATCTTGACTGGATTAGTGTTTTAATCAAAAGAGGATAAAGAAAAAAAGTTATATTTTATATTTAGCTATGATCCGTGTGTATTTGAGGAGGATCATGGTAAGTTATTGGTGTTTTGCCAGTGCATGTTTCTGGCGGGAATTCAAAACTCTAAAAGACAAGATTTGAAACGAAAATGTGCGGAAAACCTAGAAAAGGGGGAAATGCATACATACCACGACGGTTAGAAGTTATATTAAAAGAAACAACGACAATGCCAAGGAGGTTGTATCTTGACTGGATTAGTGTTTTAATCAAAATAATTAATAAATAAATCAAGCTCAGAAAACACATTGCGTCTTAGTGGCATCATCATCTTAATTGGAGTGAAATGAGTCAGAAGTAGGAAAATCGTAATAAGAAAGAAACGTATAAATTGTTTTACACCGAGCATCTTATTATTTTGTTGTTTTTTTTTCTTTTGTCGAATATTCAGAATAATAATGCAAATATTTTATAACAAAAAAAAAAAATGACTGAGTAAAAAGGAGGAAAGTTAATTTTGATTTCGTTTTTTTTTCTTCTTTTGACTTAATAATAACGTCAATAATTTATATCAATGATTCACAGAGAAGGCTTCTAATGATCTGTTACTAATTTTGACTTAACTTTATGTCTTTCAATTTTTTTCTTTTGATAGTAATGTAATGAGTTTTTGAGTCAACAGTTATTTCGATTCCTTTATCCCGTTCTACGATGTTATCTGATTACAAAATCAATTCAATTTTTTTTTATCTTTAAGCGTCATTGCCCAAAGAGCACAGATCAAAGATTTATAGGGTCAGCATGTTTAATTTACAAGTGAGTTCACGATTTCACAAGTCTAGGTGAAGAAAATAGAACTCTCTCTCTCTCTCTCTCTCTCTCTCTCTCTCTCTCACACTCTCTCTCACTCTCACTCTCTCACTCTCACTCTCACTCTCATTCTCTCTCCCTCTCTCTCTCTCTTGTTAAAATAAGAAGTA